GGTTTCTCTCCTGTGTGAATTCTTCTATGTGTAATGAGGTTATTTGAGAAAGAAAATCTTTTCCCGCATTCCTGACATTCATAAGGTTTCTCTCCTGTATGAATTCTTCTATGTTGAACGAGGCTATTTGAGTAGGAAAACCTTTTCCCACAGTCCTTACATTCATACGGTTTCTCTCCTGTATGAATTCTTCTATGTTGAATGAGGTTATTTGAGCAGGAAAATGTTTTCCCGCATTCCTTACATTCATAAGCTTTCTCTCCTGTATGAGTTCTTTCATGTGTAATGAGTTTACTTGAGTAGGAAAACCTTTTCCCACACTCCTTACATTCATATGGTTTCTCTCCTGTGTGAATTCTTCTATGTCGAATGAGGCTACTTGTGCAGGAAAATGTTTTCCCACATTCCTTACATTCATGAGGTCTCTTTCCTGGATGAATTCTCAGATGTGGAGTGAAGTCAGTTGATGTGGCACACGTTTTCCCACCTTCCTGACACATGGAAGGTGTCTCTACTCCGTGAAGATTTCTATGAGGAGTCTGGTGACTTGATTTGGAAACTGGTTTCTCACATTCCTTACACGGAGTAGGTTTCTCTCTTGTATAAGTTTCCCTGTGTTCACAGAGGTCATGTGATTGAGGAAACGTTTCCTCATATTTGTTACAATCAAAACTTATCTCTCCCATGTGACTTCTTCCCGGTCCCGTCATCTGACTTGACGGTGAAAATGCTTTCACACATTCTTTACTTTCATTAGGTTTCTCTGCGACATGGGTCCTTGAATATCTCCTTAGATGTAAAAAAGAAAGAAAAGCAAGATTTACCACACTTGTGAGGCTGATACAGCCTATCTGCACTCTGAATTTTTCCATCTACTCTGATCTCTCCATGTCCTACTTAAGGAATAATAAGTTTCCCATTTTCTGTACAATCATAAAGCTGATCAAAAATGAAAAATGTTTGTTAAAAAACTAAAGGAAATGTATTTATAGAGGTTTTTCATGTTTCTGTACATTCATTCCCAAGAGTCCACCACCTGCACCCACAGGGATGAGAAGGCACAGAAATCTTTGCTACTTTTGTCACATATAATGCATGGTCTCAGCAAGGTGAGTCTCCATCAGGTGTACATCTAGAGAATTTCCTTCCAAACAGGGAAGAGTGTAAACTCTGATGTAGCTTTCATGGGTGATTCTGTGCAAGCCCTTCATATACGTACTGTACTGTCTGATGTCTGGTCAAAAACACACAACACTAAGCTGTAAGTGTGCTCTCAAGGGCCCGTAGTAAAACCAAAATGAAGGCGTAAAGATTTTGCCTTAGGACTCTCCAAAGTAAAAATCTACCAAAACTGCTGCTCCTGTATTTACTTTTATAAATCTTAAAACGTTTTGATGTCTGTTTCACAAGTCATTGTTTCCTAAAAGGTGTTGGAAGGCTTTTATTTTATTTTTCATTTGATTGAAACTCACCTAAAGTCATCGTCTTGGTTTTGTTCTAAAGCTTTTTTGTCACACAATGTTGACATCTGTTGGAACATGGAAGGCCACAGTGGGCTCGTCCTTAAGAATTTCATCTGTGTATATTCACGGAATAAAGCCTCTCGATCCCTAAAGTTTTGAATACCTGCCAAAATCCAAGTATGACAATATAAAACCCAAAACAGAGGAAGCCATAGAGGACAGACTTCTGTGAAAAAAAAACAGTAATGTAAGTCTACTTTTCAGATTCAGGACATTCATAAAGGATAAAAACCATAAAGGAGAAAGAGTTACCGGAAAAATGAAAGGAATCAGGACATAATTTGCTTTCCTTGAGGTCAGTAAACAGAAAATGACACACACAGGACACATGTCAGATCATAGAGTACACACACACACACACCACACAGCACACAGAAAAGCACAGAGAACACACACCACATCAGAGAGTACTTCACAGAGCAGACACACAACATCTCAGAGTACTCACACAAAGTCACTGAGTACTCACCTATCACACAAAACACACACAATTGGACAGAGTACACACAG